ATCAGATTATCTCCAGCTGTGTAAAATAGGACTTCATGGGAATTTTTATCAAACCCTTTCTCTCTGCTTCCAAATAAGTCCTGGTTGGGCTATGACAAGGGATAGAAAATGTTCCTCGGGATTCGATGTGCTGGAAGTGTAACTAACCTCGGAGTGTTCACAGGCGCGACCAAAACCCCTTCGCTGCTCATTGCCGAGCAACCGTTGCAATCTGAAGTTACAAACATTCCCTGTCCGTGACATCAAGCGATCTCTTACGGTGCAACGCTGTTTGCAATATGGGTTAACTGCTCTCCGACGGCCAGCCGCGGGAGCAGCCGTTTGCGGAGGTGGGAGATAAGTAATGGTATCCGCAGCCTTTCAGCTGTCTTCTCTACTGGGAATCAAATTAATTCTGGGTCATTAGCTCGTTCTGATGATGAGTTAGAGGCTGTTGTGAAACAAGTTTGTTATCCCCCGACTCTCAAATTCTTTGTAACTCGTAGTTTATGCCGGTCTATACTCTGCCTTGTTTGGTGGTCTCATCCATGCTTTCTTTGTTACTCTGCCTGCCTTATATTTTTCTTCCTCTCCTCATCCTGCTCCTGGGAGTGTTGTCTGAGAAGAAAAGCTGTTGTGTCTGTAATCCTTCAATATGTCTCCTGAGTTTGGAGAAAGAAACTGTCTTCCATGGCCTATACCAAGACCGTTTTCACGTGGCGCTAAACCAGCGATAGGCAACCACAATTAGTAAGTGGAGCATGAATGGTCCTCCTTCATCTCTCACTGGGCTGTGGGCACCCTGCGCACCCCTCGCACGCACTGGGGCACTGGAGACCCGCACGCACCTCCTCCCTTGCCTCCCAGCACTTTCGGGGCACCATGCATGGGCAGATTCGTGCTCTGTCCTCGCTCCTTCCTCCCAGAGCATGAACAGCTAAGCTTTAGGCGGAAGGGGGACAGAGTGCGAATCAGCAGATTCGTGGCACTCCGAAAGTGCTGGGACGGAGGGGCATGAGTCGAAAGTGCAGGGCCCTGTGCCCCAGTGTGGCAGAGGAGTGATGGAGAGAGGAGGGGCCGCAGGAAGAACCCCAGTAGGCTACATGCAACCCACAGGCTCAAGGTTGCCCCCCACCACACTAAACTGACCTAGTGGAAAATGACTAGAAAAAGAAAGTGTTAAATGTTAATTAATGAATAAACTGTCATCAGTACTGGCATTCTCACTAGAGACACGAAACTGACCCTCCGCATCTCCTGGTTCCGAAACAGACATCTTGAGCAGCCCGTGGTGCAGATGTCCTGAGATTACCCGTAGTGGAGATTACCCATAGTCAAGCCCCTTCTTTTTCAGTGTAAACCGTTTTAAAAAAAAAATCCCTGCTTTTACAAAGAGTATTTTGTTTCTTCTCCAATGTTCACCCTACTTTTGTAGCATTCAAATATATGTAAATATGTCAAAAAAAAATCTCAGGAAAATACCATATAATGCATTAGGGGTGTTAAATTTAGTTGAATCGACTAGTCGATGACTACTCGATTAGTCGATAAGCAGGGGGCCGCAGCGGGGTTAGCTCCTGGCTGAGGAGCTAACCCTGCTGAGGCTCTGCCTTTTAAATGGATTAAGAACCTATCGGCTCTTAATCCATTTCAAAGGCTAAAGCACAGTAGGAGGGACCCAGCACGAGCCGGGACAGCTGGGCCCTTCCCTCTGAGCATCAGCCTTTTAAATGTATTAAGAGCCTGCTGGCTCTTAATACATTTAAAAAGCAGAGGAGCATTTGGGGCTAGGCACCAGCCGGGAATTAGGTGATTCCCGGCTAACGCCTGGTCCTCTACCCCCCTGCTTCCCCTATCCCCTGCGGAGACGGTGCTGGGGGAAACCGGCTTTTAAGCCAGCTTCCCCCCAGCACTGGCTCCTGCTCCCCTCCCTTGCTGCCTGTAGTAGAGGCAGCAAGGGGCAGGAAGCGACTGATGAGGGACCGATAAGCTTTTGCTTATCGGATAGTCGACTAGTTGCTTACACCCCTACATTGTCGAAGCAAAAACACGCTCCTCTGTGTTTAGGCAGCTAACAAGCAGCTTTATTAATTAATAAAGCACAGCATGAGCCAAACGTGGTCACAGCAGAGCTAGACCCAGTAAAGCTGCTAATACAATCAATCCTAGTATCTTTATACCCTTAGCTAAACAGTCTGACGTCAGGGCATCCAATTACAGAAATCCTCAATTAAATTTGGAAAAACAAAGCCTTATCAACAAGATGGCGGACAGGTGCGAGGGAGTACATCTCCTGTCCCAGCCAGCCCAATTAACACATACCAATAGCCCATCCTGTAGGCCTCTTCTCACGGGGTGACAGAAAGTTCACTCTGGTCTACGTGCTTGAGAGAAAAGCTGAAATGGTTTCTGATATACAAGATGGCTTCTAGCTAAATATGAAAATGGTTTCTACAGCTTCTACACCTACATTGCATGAGATAAACGTATTCCAATAATACATTAGTCAGTGTGTCTGTGCAAAGTAAGACTCTGTTTTAGTCTTGAAGACATACACAATAATTACAGGGGTGCAAGCGAGCTCTGAAGTGTGTGTGCATCTAAATGTGTCAATGAATCTCCTCCCCACCATATACACAATTCCGCTATGTCCAAGACTGGAGGAGAATGGGTCTTGGAAAAGACTCCTTAAAAAGATAGCCGTGAGCCTATGCTCCGCAGAACTTTTGGAAATGACAGCGAAGAGCTTCACAAAAAACAGGGAGTGTGTTAGAAATACCGTCAAATATTGGACCTAGTTATAGGCTAATAACTCTTAAGTCTACAACAGTAACCTGTTTATTCAAACGAAAAGTTTTTGGGGGGGATTGGAGAGAGACTGTTTTCTTAAACTCAGAGGTGGCATTGTACTTTGAGCTCATTTTAGTTCTGCAGCAAACCACATGGAATTTCATTCATCAGAGCCGTCATCTGAATCCTTTCCCCTCTTCCTTCTGTCCACCAAAATCCCTGATGTTTACGCAGAAAAATGGTTAATGTTTTATTTGCATCAACTTTCAGCGGTTTTTGTTGTGGGGGTAATAAACACTGGCACATTCCCAGGACACATTAAATAAAAACTGAAAACGAAGGGGTCCTAGCAATGGCAAGAGCTGTAGTGTAGCCCAAGAGCAGGTATCTTTCTACACTTACCTAACTCTGCTTAACCGTGTTACTTTCCCAGCGCTAAATCCAGCACGTGGTGTTTGTTTCCATAGGGCCTATTGCTCCGGTTAATATACGGAACCACATTTAGTCTTTTAGTGGCACGATTCTGGTCGCAGGTGGAAAACAATCAAATCATCTTAAAATTGCCAAGTTAGTTTCTTTTAGACCAGCCCGTAAATAAACGGGAGCTATATTATGGTGCAGAAGGAAGCATAGGATAGGAGAGCAGGAATATACTGGCTATCCCATGAGGAGTCTTTGTCAGTTTAACATCTTCTTTGTACGTTCAGACTTGGAATGGCATTCAAAGCATGGTCTGTCAATCGGTGCCAGCATCCATATCACTACCAGCATCAATTTCAGGAGATCTCAAGAAAGACCTCTTTAGAGACCAGAGAAAGATGGGTTTTGTTTGCCATATTTTCTCTGCACGCACGCACACACACACACACACACACACGCACGGTCATCCATTTTAGGTCCATTTACAGCAACTGACTAAGCAACTTTCGGATGAATTGCTGGTTGTGCAATTCATTTTTTTTATGTGTGACCAGAATCCTCCTGTCAGATGTTTAATGTGGTTCGGGATTTTAGCTGCTGAGTGGCTTAACAGACATTAAATAATGGATTCACAGGGTTGCAGTGTGCTGATTCCGCACTAGGAAGTGGGTGATTTAATTAGCAAAAGTGCCTTTTAATGTCGATTTCAATTTTTTAAATGTGTGTCGTTAAAAAATGAACGTGCTGACTCGAATGATTTGCAGAAGTTGGTTGCAGCGAAGAGCAAGCGTCGCGTGACTTGTGCCAGTTTCTAGTCTGACCTTCCTGCTCTGTCTGCGACTAACTTTACTGGATCGTTGGCGATCTCATATCAGCGCATGGTTTTTTCTTCTACCGTTACTCTGTTATTAGCGTGGCTTTAACCAAGCTTTCTTTATCCTTTGCTGTTGTTTGCCTGAGAGTTGCCGGCTGCAGCGTCCAGCCTTAGCAATGGGCAGCTGCACAGGGGAGATAAAAGCTCTGTCGATGGAGAAGGTGTGCTAGGCAGAGGGGAGGGGGCAGGGTCTGGGGCAGTTTCCTCTAGGCCAGTGGTTCCCAACCTTTTCCTGATGGGGACCCAGTTTGACAATTCAGGAAGATTTGGTGACCCACGGCAATTCAGAAATAGGGGGAGGAGGTGAGGCCGAGCCACCTGGGGAGACACTTGGCGACCCTTTTGAAATGTAATGGCAACCCATACTTGGGTCCCGACCCATAGGTTGGGAAACCCTGCTCTAGGCACAGCGTGCCCCGGGGGGGAGAGCACGTGAAATCACTTGGTCCCTGCCATTTTGAACAGCTGGCGGTTCCCTCTAGGTATTGCATGCCCTTGGCGGGCGAAGATTTTGCATGCTCCCTCACCCCCTGGCTCCTATTGGCTTGGGGGCGGGGGAGTGCGCAAAGTCTCCTGACCTGGGGGTATGGGCGCAGCAGGGCGGACCACACGCCGGATCTTGCCCACCCCTGGTTTATGCCTTCATATTAGCTTCTGCAGATGACATGGGGCTTCGGAGACTCTCAGAAAAGCTTTTTGCTTGGTGCTGTGATGTCGAAGGGTAGTCGCACGTCCTGCAGCTGTAATTGAAGTTATGGTTGCATGAGGTGCGGGACGATGTCGATCTGATTTCTTCCTGTGACCGCTGAGGTGAATTCTTTTGGGGATGTTTCTAGCTTGCTCTTCTGGGCTGGGAGCTCTCCCCTGCTTTTCAGGAATGGCAGTTGTCTTTCCTCTCTCCTGCGGTAACAGAATGTTCCACTTTCTCTTGTTCTAGGTGCGGAATGGCCATATTAAAAGAATCACCGATAACGATATCCAGTCCCTGGTGCTGGAGATTGAAGGCACCAACGTCAGGTAGACAAAGAGGCTGTTCTTTTTCCGAATGTGCTATGAAGTGTGAGCCCCCAAACAGAATGAATGTTCATGGTGCTGCTTCCCTCATCTTCTCTTTCCCAAAGACTAATCTATTTTCCCCCTATGCGTATTGGTGAAATTCTCCTAAATCAAATGGCCCCTTCTGTAGTAGGGATGTGAACGATTAGTCGACTGTCTGCTAAGCAAATGCTTTTTGGATAGTCCACACACTAGTCGACTAGTCGCTTCCCCTTCCCACTGCCTCTATCAGAAAGAGGCAACAAAGGGCGGGGGAGAAGTGGGGGTGTTTCAAAGCAGCAGCACCACATGGAGCCCGGGGCCGGAGCCCGGGGCCAGACCCTGGATTCCACACGGCGCTGCTGCTTTGAAATGCTGCATGCAGCCTGGGACTAGCTGGGACTCTCCTGCTGACCCCGGGCCGGGCTCCATGTGGCACTGCCACTTTGAAACGCCACGGGGAGCCCAGGGCCAGCGGAGGACTGCTTGAGGCCCCCTCTGGCCCCGTGCTCCCCGCCACGCTTTCGCCTTCGAAGTGTAGCAACAGTCATGGGGCTGTTGGTACACTTCAAAGGTGGAGGTGCCCTTATCGACTATCAATGCGAATCGACTATTTGATTAGCCAATTAATCAAAATTTGACATCCCTACTCTGTAGCACCTTGTGGCATGGGCAGATACCTGCCCATTTGTGCTCTGTTTTTATTCCATAACTTTCTCATTTGAAACCTCGCAGGAGTTTTTTAAATGTTTACAGAGTTCTGGAGGCCTGGGGCTGGAATTGTGGGGCTGTCTGGCCTCCACGTATTTAAGGACGTGTTAGTGCTGGAGAGTTGCTGCTTTTTGGTTCCAAGAATGCTACTTGTTTAGATCAGGGACTAGAGGGCTTGTATTTTTAAAAAAACAACTGAGTGGGCCTACTGGTGTGTGCAGGAAGTGTGAACAGGAAGCTCTCGTGATAACCTGGGAGTGTCCCATTAACCTGGTGGGAAGGAAGAGTGTCTTTGAACAGAATGGTGGTTTTGTCTTAGTCCTCCCCACCCTCCTGTGTTCCCCTCCCTTGGAATGGATCAGTCCACTGTTTCACTGAGGCCCCCATTGGTCAGATCTGCCGGGTTAGATGTGTTTGGATAATCTGATTGGCTGATCATCCATATGGTCCAAGTGTAGCATTCTGATGCACCTCGTGAAATTGCTCAGCTTTGCAGTAAGGATGTTAAGAGGCAGGGTAATTGGCTAATCGTGTAGTCGATACAAATTGTATCGACTACACGATTAGTCTATAAGGGAAGATGCTCTGTCCTGGCTATTACTACATTTAAAATACAGAGCTGCAGTGGGGGTAGCTCCCGGACCCGGCGCGAACCAAGACTGAGCCAGGCTTGCTCAGGGTTATCGGGTAGTTGACTACTCGACTAGTCACTTACCTCCCTAGTTTGCAGAGCGTAGCACATCCCCACAAGGCAGTAACCAGAAATGTCTATAAGGCCTGGTCTACACTGAGAGTTTAGGTTGAACTTAGCCATGTTCTGTCGATTTTTCTAAACAATGAGTCTGCACCACTAAGCCTGTTCCGTCGACTTAAGGGCTGTCCAAGTCAATTTCAGTACTCCTGTTTTTCACGAGGAGTAATGGTAAAGTCGACCTTGCATGGTCAACTTTAGGGTAGTACGGATGCAGCACTGTAAAGGACAATGTTCTTGGCCTCTGGTAGGTGACCCACAATGCCTTGCTGTGACTGCTGTAGCCAGGATGTTCAGCTCTGCAGCTCTCCAGTTGCACAGGAAAAGCCCTGGGAAAATTTGGATTTTATTTCCTGTTTGGCCAGTGTGGCAAGCAGACCTCAGAGCCAGCAACGCACCTCAGCAGCACACGTGACCAGGAATGCTCAGGGTGGCAAATGATGAATTTGCGTGGAGCATTCATCAGATCCTGGACCTCGCAGCTGTGTGGGGAAAGGAATCTGTACGGGCAGAACTATGCAGCAGCGAAAGAAATGCTGGTATCTGTGCCCAGATCGCAAAGGGCACGGAGGAGAAGGATGACGCCAGAGACGCCCACCAGGGCCGTGTGAAAATAAACGGGCTGAGGCAAGCATACCAGAAGACAAAGGAGGCAAACAGACAGTCTGGGTCATTGCCACAAACATGCCATTACTATAAGCAGCTGCATGGGATCCTGGACCAGTTTCCCAAGCCGGTCCATGGATTCCTCCAGAGACTCTCATCGGGCAGCAACGTGGAGGACAAGAATGGTCAGCAGGCAAGTGGGGCATCCGATCTCACTGACAGCCAGGACCTTTTTATAACTGTGGAGACCATCCCCTCCTCCCAGGACACCTCGCTGCCAGGCCTGGATGTCGGGACGGGCCCTTCTGGCGCATTCACGTTTTTTAAGCATGCCACAAGTGGGTGTAAGGCAGTTGGGTGTGATCTGTGGCTGCCGCTTTGCCAACACAGCGGGGACTTCCTGGAAGGGCTAGTTAAAGTGTCTGGACCCAGAGCATGAATCCTCCCTGCACAGCACCATGAAGCTCTCACGTAGGAACTCTTTGATCCTTCACACAAGGTTGCTAGGGAGGCTGCCTTATTCCGTCCTCCTCAGGCGGACACCTTCCCACGCCAAGCCGGCAGCGAGTGGTCTGGGGTCACTGCAGTGCAACGCAGTGCCGCATAAAGCCCAGGTTTTTGGCCACATTCAGTCAGCATCCGCTCCTTATCGCTCCGTGTGATTCGGAGAAGACGGATACCTCGCATGGTGACCTGGATGAAGCAGGTTGATGCCTCAGCCGTAAACCTGTTTGCTCAGCCCCAATGAAGCATGGTTTGAGTCCTGCCTGGACCCCCTTCCCCATCCTGCCCACGTGCTCCTGCAGGAAAGGAAAGTTGCACTCTCCCAGGAAACAGGGAGACACAGTCACTGCATGAGCCCCTGCCTGGCTGCTACACCTGGATCATCTTCCCCACTGCAGGCTCCAGCCCCGGCTTGTTCCTGGCCATGCCTGCCATCACGTCCAGCTGCTCCCCTGAGATCTCTTTGGTGTACCTGCTGCACAGTGAATGCTTAAAAGCACAACTGTGGCCTTCTACATGACGCATCCCTATGGTCTTGGGACAGACCTTTCTTTATGCTAAGAGACTGGGTTGTATGCCCACGCCCCCGGCTCCTCCAGCTGTCCGACGGGCGTTCCATCGCCGCCTCTCCCAGGGCCCTGGAACGCAGGGTGGGGGGAAGTCCAGGACAGCCTCATACTCAACCCCAGGGATGTGTCCCGGAGCAAAGACTGGCCTCATACTTGTGATTGCTGCACAGGGGGGAATTGTAATAAACCACTTTCCCCACCCCCCCATATACAAAAGCCCTCCCTCCCCCCCGAATTCCTTTTCTGTCCCTGCTTCCCTGTATTCGCTAAATAAAAATGCATGATTTCTCGACCGTCTCGCTCGCTTGTTTTGAAGGAGAGGGAGGTTTACAACGTTTACAGGCCAGCCCACTTAATCCAGGGGGCACCTCATTAAGGTGTGCATGACTGTTGCAATGTGCATGACTGTCGCGTCACGGCCTGGCCATTCCCAAAGCTGTTTTCCAAGCCGCTCTGATTTCCTGTGCCCCTCTCTGGGCTCGCCTCAGTGTCTGGCTGTAGCTGCTCTTAATTACTGCCTAGATGCTGTGCCTCAGCCACCCATCCTGGCATAAAATGGCCCCCTTCCTGTCACAGGTATTATGGAGCATGCAGCTGGTGGCCACAAAACTGGGAGTGTTGCGTTTGCTGAGAGAGAACCTGTCAAGACGCTGCGAAAGCTTCCCTTTAATCGTCCAAAAGCACATTCTGCATGTGCTCAGCCTGCAGTCCAGGCTGCCCATGTACAGTTTCATGGGCCACAGGAGCATGGGGTGGGGGGTCTCCAAGGATCGCTATGGGCATTTCAATGCTCTGATGTGAATTTTCCAGTCTGGGAAGACAGTTTCAGCTTTGCAGCTTTCTGAAGAGGCAGAAGTTGCTGAAGACGCGCGGGTCATGAACCATTCCCGACCATCCCACGTTGATGCCAGTGAAATGGCCCTTGTGATCCGCCAGCGCCTGCAGCACCACCGAGAAATACTCCTTGCTGTTTATGTACTCTTATCCGGTGCCAAGGTGGAGATGTGCGCTTCATCTGTCGCCCCACCGCAGTTAGGGAACCCCAGTGCCTTTTTTTGTAAGAAAAAAGGTGCCGGTACTCCAGGCTCGAAGTTGTTGAGTTTAAAAAAAAAAAAAAAAGAGAACTTGTTGAGCAAAAGTTGTTGGGGGGGATGGGGGGAAGCCATGCTGGGGGCCAAAATGTGGTCACAGCCCCTTTAAGAGCCACATGTCTCGGGCAGGCTTCCATCGGGAGCCAAGCCGCCCCAGGAAATAGGTGCCGGTATGCCGTCCCGGGGGAAAAAAGCACTGGGAAACCCCATCACAACAAAGCGCTTCCCTGCAGTATCCACGTTTCCCAGAGTCACTCTCCTTTGTAGCAGAAGGGTGTGGATCGATTGCCTTGCCCACGTGGATCACAACCACCCGCTCTGTAGACTTCCCAGCTGTCTGGAATGGCACGCTTCCTCGGGGCTATTGCTCCTCGCTTCCGACCGAACGAGCGGGTCTCGTTCTAGTATTGCTGCATGTCTGGGCAGGGGAGAGCAGTTCGCAAACTTCCACAACGGTGGCCGTATGGGCTCGCAGCATCAGAACCAGCATGCCACTGTCCAGAGGATTGAATATCGGCGGCCTTTGCAATTCACTCAACTCAAGTGCTTCACAGAAGAGTCTCTTCATGGCCTCCGCAGAGTCTTCCTTGTTCCGGCGGGCCCTGGCTACGCTCTGGAGATACTCCAGCATAAGGTGCACCATGGTTAATGGTTGCTATAGTACTTTGCTGCTTCCATGCTGGGTTCTACGCTTTCCCAGCTATGGTGTCTGCACAGATAACCCGGGGGGTGGGGCATGAAAAGGCCTAAGGGGAGGTAGGAGAGGGGCCGCTGACGCCATGTATGCAGAACCGCCTCTGACACCATATTCGCAGTTTTGGTCCCAGTATGCACTGGGAGCATATCCCACAATGCAAAGGAGTGGCAGGAACATGTGGAGTGCCCCCTGTGCACCACTCTCAAAGCCAATGGTAGCGACCCTCCTGGGGACGCGTTGCATCGAATTTTCGCGCGCAGTGGGGACATGCACCTTCGACTTTACAAAATCGTGTGCTAGGAAATTGACCTTAATAAATTTGACTTTCTCTCTTGGTGTAGACAAGGCCCAAGTGACCTGCAGTTTTTACCTCTGCTGGCGACAGTCAAAGAGGCGGTAACTTCAGACCATCTAAGTTCATAGGCAACAGGTTTCAAACAAAAGGAGGTACTACTTCACGCAACGCACAGTCAACCTGTGGAACTCCTTGCCAGAGGATGTTGCAAAGGCCATTTTATAAATAGGGTTCAAAAAAGGAACTAGATAAATCATGGAGGGTAAGGCCATCAGTAGCTAATAGCCAGGCTGGGAAGGTTGGTGTCCTCTGTCAGAAGCTGGGAATAGGCGAGAGGGGATGGATCACTTGATACTTTTTCTGTTCATTCCCTCTGAGGCACCCTTGCTCGCTGATAGAAGACAGGCTAATGGGCTAGATGGACCTTTGGTCTGGCCCAGTGTGGCTGCTCTTAGGTTTGGGTACTCCTTGGAGCTGGGAAGCTTAAATTGAACATAAGAGCTTCCTGGCTCATTCTTCTTGCCAACCGTCTCTGAATGTTCTTTGCTGATCTATCTGCTGCGTACCAGGCAACTGTCGCGAGGAGCTAGAAATATTAAGTGTCTCTCTCCCTCCCAGTACCACGTACATCACCTGCCCTGCCGACCCGAAGAAGACGCTGGGCATCAAACTGCCCTTCCTGGTGATGATCATCAAGAACCTGAAGAAATACTTCACCTTTGAAGTACAGGTGAGTGGGTAACGGGGTTAAAGAGGGGAGTCCCCCCAGCCCCCGTTGGTGTGGAGATCGGGGGCAGCCTGTCTCTCTAAATGCTCTAGTAGCTGAGCCCTTTGCACACACTAATGAATCTTTTCTTAGCTCCTGGGTGAGTGGCCCTAGGTAGTGGTGGCCTGGTGGAGACCTGGGTTCTATTCCTGGTTTCCCCCTCTGGGTGACTATGGGCCAGTCACTTGCTTTCTCCGTTTTAAATCTACAGATCCCAAGCCTCTAGAAGAGCTGGGAATTTCAATTATAGTGGCAAAATGACTTGCCGAAGGCTATCCTGGTGTTCTGTGGCAGAGCCAGAGCACCTCAGTCCTAGTTCATCAGTCACAGCATCCGTTTTCTTTCCCTTCGAATCAGACCCTCTCTGCCGTTGCAGCCTGATCACATGAGTCTGGGGGCTTGGAGTTGAGGGGCAGCAGTCAGGTCCCGACGGCACGTAGCGACCATGTGTGACACCCAGGTTCCATGAGACATCCCGAGCCTGACTCACAAGTAGTCTGACTGTAATCAAACTGTGGCAGGGTGCGGGAGGGACCCAGCGTCTGACTCGGAGCTGGAGGCTGCCTGTCCCAAGCGAACTGGGCGCTGCCGCCGTCTGTATCTCCTTGACAGGCTGTCTCTTTTTCCTCCGCGCCAGGTGCTGGATGACAAGAACGTGCGCAGGCGCTTCCGGGCTAGCAACTACCAGAGCACAACCCGGGTGAAGCCCTTCATCTGCACCATGCCCATGCGGCTGGATGACGGCTGGAACCAGATTCAGTTCAACCTGTCGGATTTCACGCGCCGTGCCTACGGCACCAACTATATCGAGACCCTGAGGGTCCAGGTACGAGCCAGGCCGACCAGCCAGGTGGCTGCCAGGGCCTCCCTCCCGCCGTCGCCATAGAGACCGTGCTGCACGGTCTCCTCAGCCATGGGAATGGGCAGCTGGGATTCAAGCAGACAGAGGCCTGGACTCCACCCGCGTGGATCCTTCGCCTGTTTTACCTGAGCACCGCTAGAGGGAGCGGCCGGCCGCAGGCCTCTCTAGCTGGCGTGAGTGCTCTCGTGTCTTGGTGAGGGGTGACTGGACTGAGCCTCCCACCAAATTCAGTTGCGTTGAGGTGACAGAACCAGTTTCATCCAGTCTCTCCTCAGCGTCCTTCAGCTCCGCAGACGAGCCGGGGAGATGCCTTCTGGGGAGGGTCAGTGGGGCTGAGAGTCGGTTGTGGGGGTCAGCACAGACCCGACAGTGGGGTGGAAGCCCTTGGTCTCATTCCCGTCCCCAGGGAAATCCCAAAGCGGTAATGGTGAAGGACCTTTCGTCAGCTGGTGCAGAGCTGACTCCATGCGTTCAGCCCGGGTTTCTTTGGCCAGCTCCCAGCCACAGGTCCCATCTGCATTGACAAGTGTCTCTGCATATGCAGAAGGAACGGTGCCAGTGTAGGACACAAGAACCATCTTTGAGCCTGTGCCAGTCATGTGAACGGAGGGACTGGACATTTTGACATTCTCGCCCTCTCGAAATAGCTCCGTTGCAGATTATCATGCCCCTTGTCAGCCCAGGTCACCCAGCGTGAGAGACCGAAACACACTGGAATAGCCAGCTGCAAAAAGCCAAGGGCACGCTGAGTGGCTAGGATACCAGAAGAAGGTGGGTGGAGGAGCAGCTGCTTTTTAAAGCCGCTGGAAAGAAAGGAGGCAGAATACCCCCTGGAGTATGTGACCAGGCCTCGGGCTCGCCAGCAGATCAGCGGACCGCTGCAGCGCCAGTCACCAAAGCGGATGTCCTTGGTCTGGGATTCTCAGGCGACGGGGGAGTTCCGTAATGGACACGCGAGGCCAGGGCGGGTTGCGGGCCTGTCGAGCTGAAGGGGAGACTCTGAGATGCAGCCCAATCTCTCCGCCTTTCCACCCCCAGATCCACGCGAACTGTCGCATCCGCCGGGTGTATTTCTCTGACCGGCTCTACTCGGAGGACGAGCTTCCGGCTGAGTTCAGGCTGTACCTCCCCGTTCAGAACAAGGCCAAGGTGAGCTAGCCTGAGGTGGCGGGCGAAGCAGCAGCGACGGCCCTCGCAAAGGCCTCCCCCTTGGCTCGCGTTTCTTCCTCCCTCCTGACGCTTTAGCAAAAGAAGGTTTCTGACAAGAGGCCTCCACGAGGGAGGGAAGTGACTAGTCGACTGTCCGATAAGCATATGTTTATCGGATACGAGAGTAGCGACTCGACTCGTCGCTCCCCCGCCCGCTGCTTCTCTCAGAGAAAGGCAGCAAGGGAGGGAGCAGGAGCCGGTGCTGGGGGGAGCTGGCTTAAAAGCCGGTTTCTCCCCGGCACCTTCTTCGTGGAGGGCAGAGGCACAGCGAGGAAACGGCGCGAGCAGGGACCGAAGCAGTCTCCGCTCACACCGCTTCTCTTGCGCTTCTGCTTTTGAAAATGTACAAGAGCCCTGCCGCTCTTCTGCCTTTTAAATGGAGTAAGAGCCGGGGGCTGAGGCGTGGCTCCCCCTTATCGACTCATCGAGGACTTGATTAGCTGATTATTCAAAATAACACCCTCACCTCCGCAAAATATTTGGGTCGGAAAAGCATTTCCCCTTGGCTCACAGTAGGGAGCCAGGCCCTGGTATGTTGCTGGACGGCAGTCTGACCCCGGAAGCAGAGCTCTCCGTGAGATGCAGGCGCAGTTCCCTTCCCCCCCCCGAGAAGGAGGCCTTCCAAATTTGCAGGGGCTACGACTGTGGCAGGTGGTTCCCTGACTGTGGTCTCTGCTCGTTGAACCCCAAAAGCTGCTGCTGTCGCCAAAGTCACATACAACTGGAGAACAGAATTGCCGACAAACTGGCTGCCGCCTCTGACCACCTCCAATAAGAGACACTAGCCTGTTTCCTCCGTCCTCAGTCACTTTCCTTGAGGTGCGGCCAGAGAGCCGTGGGACCCTCTGGATCAGTGTTTCTTAAAGTGTGTTCTGCGGCACACTGGTGAGCCACATAGCAGTCGGAGGTGTGCCGTGGAGAACAGAGTTCAAAATGGTCGCCCTTAAAAGGGCAACGCCTGCTCTCCTGCTCTTTTTTTTTTCCCCTCAACAAAAAACGTTTGGTGTTCCGCATTAAAAAAAAAAATTGTGTGGTGTTCCTCAGTCTTAAAAAGTTTAAGAAACACTGCTCTGGATCATTCTCCAGCGATCACGCTCTAGTTTTGGACCAGCACTGCGGGCCTTGATAGATAAATATCCAGCCCTCGTCCACTAGAGTCCCCCCAGACGAAGGTGCTGGTGGGTTGGGGGAATAAGTCAGGTGGGAAGGAACTTGGAGGAACATCTAAAGGGAGTGAATCATCTCTCCCAGCCCCCAGGACTGGTGTTTGTCAGGGCTGTGTTAATAAGGACGTGCTACAAAGGTCCTGGCACCAGCAATGAAGGTCGCGTAAGGCTGCCAATGGAAGGAAACAGGCTAGCACCTCTGCTTGGAAGTGACCAGCGGCGGCGGCCAGTTTGTTGGCACTTCTGTTCTCCAGTTGTGTGTGGCTTTGGCATCTCTTACCAGCGACAGCAGCAGCTTTTGGGGTTCAACAAGCAGAGACAACAGCGGGAAGCCACCTGCCACAGTCCCAGCCCCCGCGAATTTGCAAGGCCTCCTTTGGTACAATGACCGTTACACCCATGTGCACAGCGCAGAGCCGGAACCCTCCTGTTCCAAGTCTGCTGCCCACGTGTGCAGGGCAGAGCGGGGGTGAGGGGATGGGTGTGCCTGGCTCTGGAGGAGGATTGGGTTAGAGCAGGGAGTGGTTGCCTTGCTCTAGGGGAGAAAGAGGGGGAATTGGGTTAGAGCGGGGGTGGGTACCTGGCTCTGGGGAAGAGGGAGGGGGATTGGGTTAGAGCAGGGGGGAGTGACTGGCTCTGGGGCAGAGGGAGGGCATTGGGTTAGAATGGGGGGGGTGCCTGGCTCCGGAGGAGAGGCAGATGCCAATCACTGAGTAATCCCGTCTCCTTTATGCCCCCTCAGCAGTAAACTGCGTTGGAAAGAAACAGGAAGACCGTGCCATGGCTCGGTAGAACCATGAAGACCGTGATGGAGAATGTTCTAATGAAACACAATTAGCTAAATTCACTCTGCATAGGGTAACTATTGAATCATTTGGTATCCCCTTTTCTGGGCAGGACACAACTAACCATGTAATAATCCTGGAATCGCATTGTACGTTCATAAGTAGCACAGAATCAGAGTATTTATCTGGCTCTTCCTAAAAGCTGAGTCTAAACCCTGCCAGTGATGTGGTACCTCTTTGCCTCACTCGGGGGAACTACCCAGTATGTGAGAGCTGTGTGTCTGCGGGGGGGTTGTCTGGTGTGGAATTACAGGGTTAAGTGTGCCCTCTCAAAGATACCAATGTGTTTTTTCTTTCCTGGTTTGCCATCTTTGTTTTATATGTGCTCTAAGTATGGATGTAATACTCACACGTTAAAAGTTATTAAACATTTGATTCTGTTTGTAAATGTGTCCGGGCATCTCCGTCCTTTGGTGGTGCTCCTTCACTCAGGGCACGTTACATTGCCGCATTCTTTTGAAAAAACTCACGTTATTTTGAAATGACAAGCGGAGCGTCCACACAGCCAGCCCGTTCTTTCGAAATTATTAGTAGCAGGTTTCAAACAAACAAAAGGAAGTTTTTCTTCATGCAGCGCACAGCCAGCCTGTGGAACTCCTTGCCAGAGGATGTTACGAAGACCAGGACTTAACCAGGGTTCAAAAAAGAGCTGGATAAATTCATGGAGGTTAGGTCCATCAATATTTTTAGCCAGGATGGGTAGGGATGGTGTCCCTGGCCTGTTTGTCAGAGGCTGAACATGGATGAGAGGGGAAGGATCACGTGATGATTCCCTGTTCTGTTCACTCGCTGTGGGGCACCTGGCATTGGCCACTGTCGGAAGACAGGACACTGGGTTGGATGGACCTTTGATCTGACTCCGTCTGGCCGTTCTTATGTTAATAAATCACTTCACACAGGCGAGGACATGAGTCCTTCTTTGACACCCTTAGTCTGGCCTTGGCTTTGAACTTGTTTCATTTCCACCCATCTGCTCCGTGCCAAGACTGCCCTTAAAGAAGTTTGTCTATAACCTGTCCAGACACGTGTACCGAGCAGTCAAGGGTGGCCCTTGGCAAGCAAGTGAGGCAGGGGCCAGTCCATCCCCGAGGAGAGAGCCATGGCCCCCAGGGGAAGCCTTTGCTTGGGGATCCACACGCCTCCTTTCTCTCCGAGCGGCAGGGAGACCCAAGTGAGCTGCTGCGCTGGAGCAAGGCACGTGGTGTTGTCCCCCTTTGAGGAGCCTGCTTGGAAGAGAAGCCGCGGAGCAGCGGCAGTAATAAAGCACTTAGTGAGCCTGTCCCATGACTGGTAACGCCCAGTCCCACGCAGACTCGCCTTCGGCATGTGTCCTTCACGCTCCAAGATCTGAGTCTCCTGCCTGTGTGGATTGGCAACGCCCACATCAAGGCTGTGATAGTAATCCCCGCTGACCTGTGTCTTCATTGGAGGGTTGTGAGCAAGACACGAGAAGTCATTCTTCCGCTCTACTCTGTGCTGGTTAGGCCTCAGTTGGAGTGTTGTGTCCAGTTCTGGGCACCGCATTTCAAAAAAGATGTGGAGAAATTGGAGAAGGTCCAGAAAAGAACAAAAATGACGAAAGGTCTAGAGGACATGAGCTGTGAAGGAAGATTGAAAGAATTAGGCTTGTTTAGTTTACAAAACAGAAGACTGAGAAGGGACATGATAGGAGTTTTCAGATATCTAAAAGGATGTTACAAGAAGGAGGAAGACAAATTGTTCTCCTTGGCCTCTGATGATAGGACAAGAAGCAATGGGCTTAAACTGCAGCAAGGGAGGTTTAGGCTGGACATTAGGAAAAATTTCCTACCTGTCAGGGTGGTCAAACACTGGAATAAATTGCCCAGGGAGATTGTGGAATCTCCATCTCTGGAGATATTTAAAAGGAGGTAGGACAGATATCTATCAGGGATGGTCTAGACCAGTGTTTCCCAAAAAATGCCGGGCCTCAGCGTACCTAGTGGCTGCCGGCTCTTAGGCCAATTCGACCCATTCGGTTGAATCAGGCCCCACGCCCCTGCACCCGGAAGTGACGGCGAGTTAAGAGTCGAGGCCCTGCTCCAGCAATAT